CGTGTTTGGCAGCTTGACTCCTGAGAGTTTTAGGATATCAGGAAAGTCCCACAACGAAGCACATGTGATACGTTGTCTCACCTTGGACAAGTGAGTTTGTTCAAAATTATCTCTGTCCACCCATCAGTACCTATTGGGTACCTATACTACCCATTAAAAGTTTAGACTCACTAGTGTAAATGTAGCCACTTACTTCAGTCAACTAGATTTTGCAAAATATTCCATACTGTTTAAAGGTACTGTTTACACATGAACTGATGTATTGTAAAACAAATTCGTAACGTTGAAAGACTATTGTCATGAGTTCAATAACTGATGAAACTCAGTGAAAACTGGCGAATTATTAACAAATCTTTACACCAAAACGCAGCTGTTCACATGCACGATATATTTGCACATGCATTTCAGAAATTTGCTGCATGGCCCTCGTGCAATTCTTCTGCATAAGGTTTGCAGTTGGTTCCCCTAAGTGGAGAAATTCATCTTCGATGTAACCGTATCTATACATGTACTAGAAATCCAATTAAACATATTCCTAAAATTCTCAATAATTTCTGGTCATACTATAAGTCCTTATGATTACATCAACTGAAAAGGGGGATTGGTAGTGTCTCCAAAACAAGCTCTTTCAGTAAACATGAAGGGGGAGTCACTTGAACAAGCGATTGTAGTTACAAATTGCCCTTTTTTGCACTTTAATATCTAAGTTTGATTCCAGCGGACGTCTACCAATCTCAAACATACAAAATGTTTCTTGCACATTTTGAACCTAATAACTGACCTAATTCAACGTGGTTTTCGTAAAATCAGAAGTACCGTTGATCAGTTAGTGCGTTTAGAATCAATTGTAAAACAAAACGCTGTAATTAATTAACAACATGCAGTGTCGATATTTTCCGATCTAGAAAAAGCATACGACACTACATGGAAATACGGTATTTTAAAAGATTTACATGACTTTGGTACCCGTGAATTTCCGGGTTAGAATATTGATCTTCAGTAACCCATGCTTGTTGTAAGAGGCGACTAACGGGATCGGGTGGTCAGGCTCGCTGACTTGGTTGACACATGTCATCGGTTCCCAATTGCGCAGATCGATGCTCATGCTGTTGATCACTGGATTGTCTGGTCCAGACTCGATTATTTACAGACCGCCGCCATATAGCTAGAATATTGCTGAGTGCGGCGTAAAACTAAACTCACTCACTCACATGCCATTGGATTGAGAAGCCGTTTGCCCCAATTTATAAACAAAGTTTTAAATGACATGCAGTTTCAAGTACTAGTTGGTTCTACCCTGTCTGATCATCATAGTCAGGATCAGTGTGTCCCACAAGTCAGTATTTTGTCTGTCACATTGTTTAGTATAAAGATTATTATAGGATATTTATATAGCGCACATATCCATGTATCTAGTACATGCTCAATGCGCTGATTTTTTCCCCTCGATCACTGGATGTCAATGTCAGCGGCACATCGTGTTATCAATCTCAACTCCCCGGGGATCATACAACTCTTGCAATCACTAGGCGCACCGAGTTATTGCGGCTTTCTCATCCTTACGAGGTACCCATTCACAGCTTGGTGAACTGGGACACAGAGTCACAGTACTTTGTCCAAGTTTACTGCACGTTGCTGTACCCGCAACTAGGTTTTTGCACGTATTCATGTGGCCACCATCTGGTCATATACAAACGGATTCGTGGGCTCTTTTAAGTACACAGGGTTGTGTACTGTACACTAAAGTCCGTTTGGCTCAAAATTGGACCGATGAATTGCAATCTAACTCGAAAGCTAATAAACATAACATACTCAATGAAACACTGATCATAATGAAAACGTCAGACCAACTCTGTGAGGTTGTTTGCAGAATTTATGTCCTAAAAATATAAAAGTTGTTTAACAAACTATCATTAAAATATTGACACAGTTCACTATTTGTTACGAGGGAGGAGTGCAGAGAAAGGGACAGCCAGGTGTGCGAGAAGGAGTCGGCACAGCACAGGTTAATGAATCAATAACTTTGTCGGCACTTTTGCACGTGCTTCTCTAACACCTGGCTGTCCCTTTCTCTGCATTCCTCCCTCGTAACAAATAGTGAACTGTGTTAAAATTTTAATGATACATTAGTTTGTTAAACAACCTTTTTAATTTTAGGACATAAATTCTGCAAACAAATCACGGAGTTGGTCTGACGTTTTGATTATGATCATCGTTTCATTGAGTGTTATATGTATATTAGTTTTCGAGTTAGATTGCAATTCATCGGTCCGATTTTGAGCCAAACGGACTATAGGGGTTGTGACAACACTGAAAGAGTCTGCACGCAAAGTTGACTCCAAGGTTTTCACACCCGGTCACAGGTGGGGTCGATCCCGTCACCTCAAGCTCGTTGGATCACTAGACTGGTTCGCCACAATAGTTCCGGTTAGAAATGCAGTCTATTCGTCTCGTCATTTATGACGTCTGAAGACGGCTTTTGGTTGATCGTAATGATGCAACCACTGGCAAGGTTAACATGAAACGTATCGTAAACATACCTACACAATCACTATCTTACATTAAACGACTACCTCTCAACTTTTTATTATTTATCATGTGAGCTAGTTTATGTTAATCGAAAACATCAGACATACAATTTGAGTAATGTTTGTGTCGCTTTTCCTGTGGCTCATTAAGCTGAACCGTAATGGATCGCCACAATAGATCTGCTTAGAAATGCAGTCTATTAAAATCTGTTGAAATGCAGTCTATTACAAAAATGTTCAGCAGTTAACAAATTCGAGGTCACCTAGCCCCACCAGTGGGACACGCAACAAACTTCGTTCTTGGCCCAAAGTAATAACAGGGCCTATCGTGTAGAATCTCTCAGCAGCAGTAGAAGTGTCAGCCACAAAATCAGTATGACACCTTCCACCCTCCAGAAAATCTTGTCACCTTGGAACTAGCCACAGAATGTCCAGGTTACTGACAACAAACAAGGTTTACCCCCACTGCTTGTCTCACACAGTCCACGTCTAAGATATGAGGAGGTGTGTGACAAGTATCCAGATTGAGATTAACAGTTTAAAATGCATGAGAATGGTGCAAACTGTAAATTTCCTGTGCATAAACAAACAAAGGGGCAGGGTTCAAAGCATGAGCTTGAACATGAACCTTGGAAAGTTATAAACTGTTCATATACATAGTGTAACTGAAATGTTACTATATTACCGTCAAAGAGAGCAGATATATATTTCCTTTAGATGAACATATTATAAATATGAGCTGATACAATAATAAGTGTTGTTAAGTCATCAGAGGAAACAGCAAAGAGCGATAATAGCTAGTGACTTCATGCAACAACCATTCTCTCTTAACTCTGATCTATCATGTACTGTACTTAATGCGTTCTTTTTAAATTTGGTCGAATAAATACATAACTATGACTGTTAGTGGCTGCACCCTTGGAGAGTGTTGAAGTAGCAAAATTCGTCAACAGCCGAGGGGATGATATAAATCCAGATAGAGACCATACAGGTAGCAAAAGTAACGTACGTCCCCATGGTCCCTAGCATGGTGATCTACCTTCAGTTGCTGGCGATCTATAGCCGGATTTTATATTGTGTTGTTTTGAAATAATTTAGCATTTTACACTGAACTCAAACTAGTTTTTATTCATGTATGATAATCTTGTCGTTATACTGTCCTTGCTGACAGGTTATTAAAAGTATATAATAGTCTATATATTTATTCTTAGTACACACCCTTTTGTTGTCGCGATATGGCTGAAATATTGCATATAATATCTCTCTGACAATTTGGAACAGCCATAATTTGTAGGTACGCGTTGTAGGGTTTACTGACGCCCAATCACCAGTTACGACAGTACTGTCTTTTCCCAGTGCCGTCTTAGACGTTGGTGTTCATTGGCCAAGGTTTCTGCCGAATGGGTGGTAGGTTCGAATGCCTGCAACACGGAGATGTATCTAACTGCGTCGACTGCCAGCGCTTCTAAGAAAGACCTACCAGTATATTACGTCAAACAGAACATGAAATCTTCATTATGTATCATGCTTCAGTTTTGTGAGGTTATATTGATGGGAGGAACTAGGAAATACGATAAAACGTCAATGTTGGATATTTGAAGACTTGGGACTACACTAAAAAGAAAAACATTCTGTTCAGAAGTCCTGTTGTGGCCTCTGCAGAATTTCTGCCGAAATCTTTCGAGAGTTCACCGACCTTCGCTTATCCCATCACGTTACTCAGATTAGTCACCGCAAAAGTCCTTTTCAGATATGAAGCAATCAAACCCCCGTTCTTAGAGGTTTTCATACCTTATATCTCACATATTCCTTGTGACTTGACATTTTCTCCCTTTTCAGGGAAGTTTTGTCTGCCAAAAGATGATATCCTTTATACGTGGGTTGAGGCCTGACATTACGAACTACTCAGTCACTACCAAACAATAAATATCAATACGTACACCGAAACGTATTCCATTAGGTATACAAACAAAAATAAAAATGAAAAATATATGAATGGTCTCTGAACATCACTGATGACCAAATGATATCCTTTATCTGTAAAGAGCAACCCTGGTAGACGTTTAGACATTATGCCGATAGGTGTGTGCTTCAGAGGTTTGCACATTATATTATATTCCTTCCCACACTGAACTGAGAAGGTCAAGTTATACATTACCTTGTATAAACTGTTTGTCACGATCGCCTGTGTACTATACGAGTGAATGTCACTGAGAATGGGAATGGGACGCGATAGCGGACCCCAGTTATTCATAGTGACCCCGCCTTGAGCAAAATCTGGGTTAATAAAGTGGTACTTGATTTAATGCATTACACAGCTTAAAGCTAGCCTACACTTGAATGATGTAATGATCAAAAGAAAAGCACTTCGAATATTTACCCAACTAAGCTAATAGAGTTTTGTTTGTTTTATTTGTTTTATTTATTTGTTGTTTGACGTCAGACTCAGCATTTTTCCATGTAATTTTTTAGGAATACAAAGAAGAAGTCTCCGCTTCTAATAAAAGTTCAAGAATTCGTCACTCCATGTGCGGTTGTGCTGGTTTACACAGTTACATGTGGCTTAATGTTATCTCGAATGGTATGTCATCTGAGCAGGTTGGGTTCATGGAAATCTACAGGGTCATACACGGGTGACCACCTATCCACGAACGTCCAGGGACAAGTTTGAGTCAGCTTTTTACCTGCTTGGTGAACCGAACAGGTATCACCTCACCACATCTGGCCTGCGCCTGAAATAGTACCATTAATACCAATACGATGGTAAAATAACGTCCTCTAACTTATCACAGACGCTATTTCTACACAAAGGCAAACAATTATTTCGACTTAATAGTGGTCTGTACTGTCCACTGGTTACATGTAGGGAAGTACTTCCTGGATGTGTTCATTTTCTGCAAATATATAACGTTCATAGAGAATTAAAGAGAGACACCCCGACATTCACAAGTTCCCGTCGCCCACCATGGGTCACATAAACAGAGTTATCTCCCCTTGGCTAATTCGATTACAGTGTTGGAACCATCTTTGTCCAGGTACTTATGGGCATCTGGTATAAACTTCTTATATGGAAGTTTATTTCATTGGTAGAACATGTTGAATCTCTCCAAATGATTCAATGGCGCATTTTGTTCCGCTACGTGTAATTGGTCCTTAATTATTACACCTAAAATATAAAACGGTTGAAAATTGGAAACATCGTGATAATGAATTGAATGATAATGGAATCAATTATTACTTTATTTCAATTCAATTTTTTCATTTCATGCATTACAACTCGAGAAATACTTGTTTTCAAAGGCAAACATCCAACAAAAGGTAGCTATGGTTACCTTACACTTTTCTGATGCTCGATCATCTGTAACTGCGGAGTGAAATATAAATACATTTTCTGTTCCTCTTTTATCCCAAGGGCCTACATGTTCCCTGTCGACGGTACATTAAGAGGCGGTTCTTATAAACATGCAGCACTGTCAACCAGCAATGCGTGACCCGGGAAACTGGAGACGCCATCTTTAATAATCCATTAGGATAAGCTCTCTTTCTCACGCAACACGTCTGAGTGCATTTGGGGGCGACATGAGACTGTTACAGACAGAACAACATCTGACAGAAGTGCAGTGATTCAGTTTAGCAGTAGCTGGGTTGAATGATAATGCCCTCTCCAGACACGTTTATGTGTCTATGATTTACACCCAGAACGTTCTTTCCGGTAACTCGATCCAACTGTCGAGTCGTGCATACAATTGTGTTTCCTATACAGCTTGAAATAATTTTATCACCTCATACTACATACTTAGTGATATTTTTAAATCGCATTTGTAAACTTGAGAACAATACATGTTTTAGTTCCCATACCACAGCCATGTTTTCGTTGGTTTTGGGCTTAATAACATGTCACATCTATATCACAATAAGAGAGGCGACTTCGGCTTAAGTGGGCCATCTGCATTCAAACACTATTGTGCTGAAGTTGAAAAGTCCTATGTAAATAGGTATTCTGGTACAATGACACATTCAGTTACGTTAGCACTCTACCAACCGATCGCGATCTTCATTTCAGTCGGGGCGGTGGGGTAGCCTAGTGGTTAAAGCGTTGGCTCCTCACGCCGAAGACCCGGGTTCGAATCCCCACATGGGTACAATGTGTGAAGCCCATTTCTGGTGTCCCCCGCCGTGATATTGTTGGAATATTGCTAAAAGCGGCGTAAAACCAGACTCAGTCAGTCAGTCAGTCAGTCATTTCAGTCTATTCTTCCGACAAGCAGAGCTACGGAGACATAATCAATTGCCCCCCCTGAGCAAATGTAAAGAGTATGAAGAGTGTTTACAACTGGTAAATATGGGAATAGATTTAAACATTACAAACCGGCAAATGGGAAATCTGTACCATTGACAAGTCTTTAAAGCAGTAGTGTACGTTGGTTGGTTTGTTGTTTACTCAGCAATATATGCTGGGGCCCGTTTAACAAAGCCCTCTTACCGGTACGACCTCGTAAAGTAGGTCATAGACCACCTCTTACTTTTTTACCCCGTTTCACAAAGACCTCGTATATTTACACCGTGACGTAAACAGCCCAAAATTTAGGACCCCGATTGACCTGTCGTAAAAACTTTAGGAGGTCGTAAATTACACCTAAAATATAAAACGGTTGAAAATTGGAAACATCGTGATAATGAATTGAATGATAATGGAATCAATTATTACTTTATTTCAATTCAATTTTTCATTCATGCATTACAACTCGAGAAATACTTGTTTTCAAGGCAAACATCAACAAAAGGTAGCTATGGTTACCTTACACTTTTCTGATGCTCGATCATCTGTAACTGCGGAGTGAAATATAAATACATTTTTCTGTTCCTCTTTTATCCCAAGGGCCTACATGTTCCCTGTCGACGGTACATTAAGAGGCGGTTCTTATAAACATGCAGCACTGTCAACCAGCAATGCGTGACCCGGGAAACTGGAGACGCCATCTTTAATAATCCATTAGGATAAGCTCTCTTTCTCACGCAACACGTCTGAGTGCATTTGGGGGCGACATGAGACTGTTACAGACAGAACAACATCTGACAGAAGTGCAGTGATTCAGTTTAGCAGTAGCTGGGTTGAATGATAATGCCCTCTCCAGACACGTTTATGTGTCTATGATTTACACCCAGAACGTTCTTTCCGGTAACTCGATCCAACTGTCGAGTCGTGCATACAATTGTGTTTCCTATACAGCTTGAAATAATTTTATCACCTCATACTCAGTTTCTGACTGAGTTTAGTTTTACGCCGCTTTTAGCAATATTCCAGCAATATCACGGCGGGGGACACCAGAAATGGGCTTAACACATTGTGCCCATGTGGGGAATCGAACCCGGGTCTTCGGCGTGACGAGCCAACGCTTTAACCACCAGGCTACCCCACCGCCCCTCCGCCATATTGGATAGTGTTTACAAAATCACGTCTCGCGAAGGCCGGTATTGAGACGAGGGGTGCAGGGACGCACACACACACACACACACACACACACACACACACACACACACACACACACACACACACACACACACACACACACACACACACACACACACTCACACACACACACACACACACACTTGTGGTGAAAAGTTGTTAAATGACCATTGAAACTTGGGTTGAAAACACACACCCCTCTTTTCTCAATAGTTGTGCACCCCTCCTTTTCTCAAATGACCCCTTTTCTCAATAGTGTGCACTCCTCCTTTCTCAATAGTGTGAAATTCTCAATAGTGTGCACCCCTCCTTTTCTCAATAGTGTGCACCCCTCCTTTTCTCAATAGCTGTATCCGCCCCTGTGAATGATACATGACGTATATTTCATAGTCAGCTGCGACAAATGCATCATTGAATTCCCCATACATTTTAAAATCAAATTACAACTGGTCTTTGTCACCAATACCAACTGTCTAGATAAAATGAAATGAAAGATATTGGGTGTGAAAACGAACGCTGTGCTCGGAAGACTGCGCTAGTTTGAAATGTAAACAAAGAAACATTCCGATTTTACACTGCGTAGCATTTCTAAAATTCTCCGACATCCAGTCGGCTATTCATTGCTTGCAATGGCTCAATACCTTAGAATATGCATGGAAAGAATACCACAGCAAGAAAGAGGAAATTAAAAATAGATACAATGCAATGTTTTGATACTTCATAAGAAAAGTTTCCGTGCAGCGTAACGCCATAGCAGACGCAAAATCACGCAGAACGACAACGGTAATTATCAGCATTTCTGGCTTCTTCTCCTACTTACAATGAAAACGATGAAAACATATAACAATACACAGATAGTCAGAGTCACTCTTATAACTTACATCTCATATTTATGTACAAACGATCCCTGAATCAAGGGAAGAGTCCTCGCAAAATCCTGTGTACCCTTGTCAGCGAAGCCGCCATTTTGTAAGAAATCGGTCATTGGTTGTGATGTCACACGTCAACATTGTTGTACATATTAGGCAATTTCTTTGAGGTGAAGGTCGGTTGAAAAAGTAAGTTTACACAATCGCCTTATCCTTCTGATTACACTTTCAGTACTATGATGTATATTTTGCGTATCATTCAGATATTTTTTTCATGAAACCAATTTCAGTACCTACATTTAGCCTTGTTCAATATCATATCATACGTAGATATAGGGTATATGTTTTTATTCTGTGAAAGTTTTTGATTGTTTGAATAAAAGTTACAAAAGAAATTGACACATTTAGAGTATCACACCATATTTTAAACCTTTACACAAGTGTTAGTAATTCAAGCGTATACGTAGCCATAACTGCAACATGTACTTTAGGTCCTATAGTGTGCAATATTCAATACAGATTGGGACTAATATTGCAGTTTCACATGAACAATTAGGTTAAAGGACAGCGATTTAATTCAAACCTTATAAGTAAAACTGAAAATATTAATGGAAATGATTTATACATTTTATCTTGTAATTTTCAATGGAATTTAGTGAGAGAATCCAAAATAATTCATTTATTGATATTTTTTTAAGATAAGATAACCTGTACATTGAATCAGGGATCCATGATATTGGAAAAAAGTGTATGAAAGGAGGACCAAAAGGAATAAAAGTGTGTTGGTTTTGCATGTGAAAAGGCTGTATATTTTGTGGCTTTATAGTAATTAAGTATTTCCCGCTTAAAATATTACAAATTTGGCTTTATATTTTTAAGCATAAAATAAAGATATAAGGTGATCTCCTTGACGACAGGCCCTGGTTATCTTAAAAAATTGGTTGCAAACCCATTTACTAATACGCTAGATTTGATATCTTTTGACAAGATAAATACTCAATTTTGCAAACTTGGTCCGAAGTTGAAATATTTTAACAGATTTTGCATAAATTTTCTGTCAACTGAGTCGAAAGCTTTTTCAAGTTCAATGAGTAGTTATAAACCTGGAACTTGGTATGATTCTGTATAATCCACAATATCACAGATTTGCCATGTAACTTCCCCTATATATCTTCCAGGAACAAAACCTTCTTGATCTTCATTCATAATACCTGGAAGCATGATCTTTATCCGACACCCACCCCCGTCCCTCTAGCCCCCGTCCCTCCAGCCCCGTCCCCTAGCCCCCGTCCCCTAGCTCCCGTCCCTCTAGCCCCCGTCCCTCTAGCCCCCGTCCCTCTAGCCCACGTCCTCTAGCCGCCGTCCCTCTAGCCCACGTCCTCTAGCCCCCGTCCCTCTAGCCCCCGTCCCTCTAGCCCACGTCCCCTAGCCCCCGTACAGATACACCGATAAACAATATGTATCTTGCGTAAAAACAACTGATCTGACTGCATTCAGACAATGTATCAAGATCTGAATTAACATATTTGTGAATGTAAATAAATATAGAATCTTCATACTTGTTTTGTCACTTATTAGCAACAGTGGTCACCTACTGATCAATACTGATCACTGAGCCGTAATTCTCTGTTATCTATGCCAAGTGCCGGTAGTCAACTACTCACAACCAACACCTGACCTAACGAGTTAATAGTAGCAGTTAAACCAGTTACAGGGGAGTGAGTACAGCTAACAGAACAGCCAGGCGAGGGGCTAGAGGTACTAATTAGTAGCTTATAACAACAGGGGCTAGGGGACGGGGCCAGAGGGGTGGAGTCGGATAAAGACCATCCTATTGGCTATCACTGTTGAGGCTAATTTATATGAAGTATTTAGTTGTGATATTGGTCTCAAGAAATTTAGATTTTTAAAACTTTTACTACCCTTAGGCAAGCAAGTGACGAGTCCTTGTTTTTCTGACACAGACAAAGAACCGCTTTCATATGCATAATGCAAAGAATTTATAAGAAATTTATTCAAATCATTCCACAAAAATGTAATGAATTCGCTTGAAAAGCCATCTGGGCCTGGACTTTTATTATTTTTCATTTTTTAAAGCTGAAAGTGTATTCGGATAAGTACATTTTCCTTCCAAGGATGAAGCTACATCATAAGACAATTTTTATTCACTCGAATAAAGCTTTTTATAAAATGATTTAGTCTCCGCAGGTATTTCTGGTTGATCTTTATCACTGAGCAATCATTTGTTTTCCAATTCCATTATTGATTTATTAAAATACAATTCTGCTTTCTTGTTGCAAAAAACACTTAGTTGGTTTCCCCCATTGTTAGAACCATTTAGCGTTAGATCATATGCATAAACCTTTTGAGTTTTTATATCCTCCAAATCATGTTTCAGATCATTTACTTCTTTCCTAATTTCTGCCTTTTTAGAATTATGTATCTTATTCAATTTCCAATTCACTTAATTTATTTTCCAAAACGTTTTCTCTGTTCAATGTTCGATGCAGTGTGAAAATAATCGAGTCTGGACCAGACAATCCAGTGATCAACAGCATGAACATCGATCTACGCAATAGGGGTACGACGACAGTCCATAATTAGCAAACCGTCTGACGCTATTCGGCATTAGAAGCTTGTAAATATGTAAGAACTTCTGATCTGTATATACTCAGGTATGTTATACAGTAACCTACGGTTATAGCGAAATCAAAGGGTTCACTAATTTTCAATTCGTTATATCCGTAGTTCGTCTTAAGCAGTTTGACTAATATATACAAGTAGACAGGACACAAAAACTGTTCGTTATACCCATCAGTTCGGTATAAGCGATTTCGTTATAAGCTAAGTTTACTGCAGTGGCAATTCCCTCGTAAACACCAAAAACGTTAGCCAGCTTGGTATATCCCGGTGTCAGGGGTTTTCGACAATGTAAGAAAAAAACGTATTTTCTATCTGTAATATCATTTAAAGTTTGTATTTTACTTACCTTGAGTGATAAAGGATATATTCATCTATTTCACACAAAAATATCAAGTGTTTCCTACAAAACTAGCGTTTGATGAAATCGTATCGGCGAAACTGTTGCCGCTCGTAACATCCGGGTATTTTGTATGGGTTTTCGACAATGAGCAATACTTTTTGCTCCGCACTGCGAGGGAGTGTTGTGATCACGTGGCTTCCTCTTTATATATTGCCTGTCACCACCAGACGACTGATCAAACTGAATTTTCGCTTGCTATTTTTTGTTAAAAGGGAACTGATTTTGCATCGTAAGTGGTAATAACGATCTCGGGTAAATAATATTGATGTTTGTTTGCTTTTTATATAAATTTACTTCCCGATTTCCATTGTCAATAAAACTTCTCACGACAGCGACTGGGCACCCGCCCTACCAGTGAAACTATTTGTGCACTCCGATCGCACACGTACTCCCCCGATATAGCACGTGCAATGCAATCGTCGAAATCACCAGAACGTCGAATTCAGCTCGTGTTGGGATAGTTATCAAATATGATGACAATAAAGACTTATATAGCCACGCACATGGCGGTTCCAAGATCAAACGCCAAACATATTTGTGATACAGCCCAAAATGACGATATCTATCAACGGTCTAATGTCACGTCTTGTTGTAAGAAGCGACCTACGGGATCAGATAGTCAGGCTCGCTGCCTTGGTTGATACATGTCATCGTATCCCAATTGCGGATATCGATGCTCATGCTGTTGATCACTTAATTGTCTGGTCCAGGTTCGATTATTTACAGATCGTCGCTATATATAGCTGGAATATTGTTGAGTGTGGCGTTAAGCAACAAGAATAAATCAATCAACTATTGCCACGAAGAATTGATAACGATTACACCCCCTAAACTTAGATCAATAATATTAAATCGTCATGGCAATCAAACCTGATCATGTTAATAGATTAGTTTTTACAATACAGTCACACAAAGAACCACCAATGGGTTCTCACCAGCATCAGGTCAATGATACACAAATTCACTGTCAAAGTGGTCACTTTTATTATTTTTGTAACAATACACTTCAATGGCGTAAAGACAGAAATTGAATTTTGTTGGAATGCAAATCATGCATAGTATGATAAACAAAGTTTAAATGTAGGTCTTTGCATTAAATCTTGAATAAACGTCAAGTCAAGAGAGATATTGATAAAAACACATAGTCAAACAACGATCAGTTTCAGAGGACCTACATAAATAGCTTGATACAAACACAAAAGAATGACTGAAGAAGGAATATACAGGGCCCCGTCTTTTACTTCCAGAAACTAACTTCGACCTGTTTGACTATCTCCATTCAGAACTGCGGTACAACCCATTGCTGGTCAGATTAAACCTAAGCATACATGTCAATAACACCCCCCTGAAAAACTCGCCCATGAGCTAAAGCATTTGTAACTTCCACGAAAACACCAACTGTTTTAGATCTCCGCGAATGGTGGTCCTCATATTACAAGTAAACAGAATGGTGCTGAAAGCATTTCACCTCCACGAACGGCATTCATTCTAATAAACCTCCAAGAACGGTGCCCATTGTCATACAGTAACCATTGTAACACACCTCATGTGAAGGCAAATATTTTAACACACCTTCACGAACAGTACAAATTGCAAAACCCCTCCTTGAAAGGCAGATATTGCTGTCCACCTCCACGAATGGCAAAGATTGCTGTCCACTTCCACGAATGGCAAAGATTGCTGTCCACCTCCACGAATGGCAAATATTGCTGCCCACCTCCACGAATGGCAAAGATTGCTGTCCACCTCCACGAATGGCAAAGATTGCTGTCCATATCCACGAATGGCAAAGATTGCTGTCCACGTCCACGAAAGGCAAAGATTGCTGTCCACCTCCACGAATGGCAAAAATTAGTGCAAACCTCCACGAACGGAACTGTTTGTAACACACCGATGTGAACATATTCTAGAACCTCATAGCTTCACTTGCCAGTGGGTGAGATTCCGTAGACTGTTGGGAACCTTATATCTGAACATGAGAAAGTCTGGATAATACACCTCCATAAGCTGGTCCAATAAGACTGGGGGTATCTGGCTGTAGTATTGACGAAGAAGTTCCTCGGTCCCTGCATGCTTGTAGGACGCAGATCGTTTCGGAAACTGGAATAGCTTTGACGCTCCTATCTTGTCTAAAAGTCGCACCGAGTCCGCCTCAAGGTCATCATAAGAACTTACAAGGTCATAATTTATAAGGCAAGGGTGACAAAGCTCTGTCATCTTCTCCCAGTGTTCATTAAGAGGTTCTCGTCGTGTATAGTCAGTCAGATAATGAACATATTCACTAAATGACACATCCTTCCCGTCAGGCTTCGTGTTCCAGGAATTGGCTCGATACTTTCTGACAATATTCTTTCCATAACGTTTGTGAAAGAATGGATTCTTCCCTTTAAACTTGTTCCTGTAAGCTGATAATATTCTTTCAAAGGGTTCACGAGTGAACACAAACTTGTAATAGTTCTTCAGTCGGTACTTAATGTCCTCAATTGATAGGTCACTCAGGTAGGTCAAATAGTCATCATAAGCACCGTGGACGTCGGAGGCTTTCAGCTTCATTGGATCCGTTGTGTTCATCTTCCCGGTGAGTAGCAACATGACTCGCCTCCAGTTTGTGCAGGCAACCTTTGGAACTGAGCAATACAGAATCTTATATTTGTCGTTGACGATGATATGCCGGAATATATCCGGCGTAATAATTTTATTCCCGTTGGCTGCACAGAATTCTCTTCGATTACGGTACCTAATTGCCCTGTGGTTGTCATGTTGCCTTGAATCCTGAAAATATACAATGACGTCATTTGTCAAAATGGTGCTTCGTGAATTCGTTAGTCCGAGGGATTAATCTGTTAATTTAATTAGAGTTGGGTTGTGATTTCTTCCATAGAAAATGTGGACTTTGAATTTTACTTCCATTGGTGCCACCCAGAAAGCAAACTGGAGAAACATCAGGTTTGGATTTTGTCAAAAAGAATTCTGAAATAACTTACCGTCTCTGCTACTGATAACAGTTTCTTAAGTCGAGTCGCCTCCACAAACATCCCTGAAATTTACATAATAATGGTTAGGTTGTTTTTAAGTTTGAGCAATGCCAGCAATATCATGACCACGAATATATAATAATCATCATTTTGATAATGGCGGTGGGGAAGCCTTGTGGATAAAGCGCTGGCCTGTTACGCTGAAACCCCGAAGTCAATTCCCCCGTAATTGTAATATGGCTAGAATATTGCTACAATGGAAGGTAACAATTTTTCACTTCATTAACAAATGCCCCTAGATTGCCATGACAATGTAACCTGAACCAAAAAACAATTGACATTTTTTTGCTGTACGTGTATTTGCACAGCAGGTCTCCTTGGAATTAAACTCTAATGAATGTGTATTAAATTTACAACAAGATAGTTTGAACCTTTCGCTTGTTTATCAGCATATTTATGTTTTTGCAGCAAATTACGTGAAGCTCTTTGACCTACGATGTTTATATTGCAGTAATATTCATTGCCATTTCCTAAATGACATAACACCATCTTTCCTTTTACAATATGTGTTAATGACCTACTTGTCGTACATATACTACCCATCAAATGTTTAGACCCACTAAGGAGGAGTTCAAAGATAGGAACAGCCAGGTGTGCGAGAAAGGATGGAGCCGGCACAGCAAAGGTAAATGAATCAATGACTTTGTCGGCACTTGTGCGCGTGCTTCACGTACACCAGGCTGTTCCCCTCTTTGCACTCCTCCCTCGTAACAAATAGTGAACTGGGTCAAAATGTTAATGACAGTTTGTTAAAAACTTATTTATTTTTCGGACATAAATTCTGCAAAAACATCACAGAGTTGATCTGATGCTTTTAATTATGGTCAGTGTTTCATTGAGTATTATATGTTTATTAGTTTTCGAGTTAGTTTTCATCGGTCCAGTTTTGAGCCAAACGGATTCTTTAGTGCGCATGCACGTCGTTAAGCGACATTAAATTTCACCTCACACCTCACCTCACCTCAATATTTTGCATTACAGGTGTGCTTCGTGCGCACTGTAATATATTTTTACATAACGTGGATCAATCATCTTACGTTGCATCGTGTCAGTCGACGGATCAGGGCGGATCCTGGAGGTGAGGATTAGACTCAATGGCAGGAGCACAGAAACCAGGCCCACTAAGATAAGAGCAGTCTTTAGATAACCAATCGACCGCGACCTCATCCTGACCGGCAGAAAGAACATAAACAGCTGATATGGTTGTTATTCCAGTCTGTAAAGAAAATACAAAACAGGTGATATTAAAAGCATCCAAGAATAAACTAATTGTTTAACATAAATGAGTGAACCATTGAATACAATTTGTACTCGGTAGTAAAATTCCATTTTAATCTCGGTGGTTTGTAAATATTCTTCCTGCTCAAGAAAACCAATGACCAAAAGCATGAGCATCCTGTGGGGATAACAACTTCATAGCATTTTAAAGGTTCATCACTCAAACACGGGGTTATTTACCCGGCCACGTTTTCTCCATAAGGAGATTACCTTTAATCACAAGCAAGTGCATTAAATAACTATTTGCCTCTCATCGAATCTTATGCTTTGTGTAAATTAAATATCATTGCACATAATCAAATAAAAATCAGTTGCTCACATTTGCTTTTAGGACAGCAGATTGAAATGTTTCGCAATTTGTATGACTATAATTATTGCCAATCAGAAATTCATAAGAAGGTATAATATTTTGTACATGTTGACAACATCACAAACAAAGTTTCCGGAAAACCATGGATGGTGTGAACTAGGTGCTGTGTTATGTATGTATATCCATCAATGTCTATAACCTGGCCGCGAGCAATGAAATATCCTGTTTTAGGCTTTGAGTCGCGTCACAGTTTCGCTTAAACGACGGGTTCAGAAGTTCATCCAACATCACAAGTTGTGAAAAATGGCTCCACACGCCTTCTTTTCAATGTCACCACCAAGCCAAGCCTAACAGGACACACTAGATTTCATCCTAGGGCAATACAGAACAATGTGATATTTCCACACCTTATCTGAGGTATTCGACAAGATGGCCCACCTGTAAACTAAGTGGGTTTGCGCCGCGTGATCATTTACACTAACAAGCACATTGATTTCAAAACACTTGAAGACAGATGGATGATAGGTTAGCCAAGGGGTTAAAGCGTTCATGGCGAAGACACGGGTTCGATTCCCAACATGGGTACAATGTGTGAAGCCATTTCTGGTGTCCCGAGTCGTGATATTGCTGCACTGTTGTTGAAAGCGGCGTGACGAGCCAGCGCTTTAACCACTAGGCTACCCCACCGCCCTCCGCAGGAACAAGACAAACGTTTATAGTGATAACGCATAGCGAACAGCAAATACACATTTCTAGCAGGGAACTACTAACATGAAGCATAGTTTGTTGTAACATAATTCCCTTCACACCGGATGAACCCAGATCTAGACAAAAACTGAGATACTAGATATGACGGTTGACGCGGTATAGCACACAGAAAGGAGGTTTACCCACGACAGCTAGGCGTGTCATTTTGGCCCTGAAATGGGGACATGTATGAGACAAGGCATAACACATTAGAGACGAGCATAGCACATAAAGCAGTGGCATGGCAGCATGACAAGTTGGAGTGAGTGTGTTTAGTTCTACACCGCTTTTAGCAATATTCTAGCAATATCACGACGGGGACACCAGAAAAGGCCTTTATACATTGTAACCATGTGGGGAATCTAACCCGGGCCTTCGGCGTGACGAGCGAACGCTTTAAGAACACGACTACCCCATCGCCCCACGAGCTGGAGTGGACATCTTGACATACTAGACGGGTAGGGGCGTTTCACACACGGCAGTGAGTATGAGACAATAGACAGTGATTATGACAGGCAAGATAATGACCATGGCACACTAGACAATGACCTGTAGGACAGTGCATGCTCATGATGTTGATCCCTGGATTGTCTGGTCCAGACTCGATTATTCACGAACCGTCACCACATGGCTGGGATATTGCTGTGTGACGTTAAACACCAACCAACGTCAGTGCATGACATAGTAGACAAGGAGTATGCTATGTTGGACCATGCATAACACACTAGACAATAACCTTGGCACAAGATCTATGACGACAATGCATTGCAGACAGGACACCATACTAGAAACGCACAAGAAAATGCATGACACATTACATAATGCATGACACACTTCATGCATGACAGACTATATACAGACAGACAGACAGATTATTTATTAAAGTCTCACCCCTGTTATACATATATACAAACTAATTAAACATATATTTACATAGGGCCATTCCATACGGAATTATGAGAGACTAAAATTCTTTAAAAATTGCATGTACATGTATTATGAATAACAATAATTAAAAGTTATATAATACGGATTTTCTCCTTTTTAAAACAACATGGCAGGTTTTGGCAGCTATAAAACAGATATTGCTATTGGACAGGATAAAAGCAGTTTTTTGTATATCAGTAAGATTACTAAAATTCTGACATAGGCTATATACACCACACCAGAGAGTGACAGTGAATAACTCACCAGACAACTCATTACTCAATATATAACACACTAGACAGCGAATGACGACCAAGACAGCACATTACTCAATATATACCACACCAGACAGTGAATAACTCACTAGACAACACATCACTCAATATATAACACGCTAGACAGTAAATGACGAACTAGACAACGCATTACTCAGTGTATACCACACCAGTCAATGAATAACTCACCAGACAACACGTTACTCAATACATAGCACACTAGACAGCGAATGACGAACTATACAACACATTACACAATATATAACACACCAGACATTGAATAACTCACTAGACAACACGCTACTCAATATATATCACACTAGACAACACATTACTCAATGTATACCACACTAGACAACGAATAACTCAGCAGACAACACATTACTCAGTATATACCACACTAGACATTGAATGACGAACTAGACAACAAATACTGTTCATGACACACTAGACATACATCACAGCACGGAGGATACAATAAACATGAAACCTCACAATGTCCGTTCTAAATCAGAGCTCATGATCACCTATATATAAGCCTAAATGTACACCAAGAAGGAAATATATCCAGTAATTTCTGCTGGTGTACATTTGATCCTGTCCATAGTTCAACAAAGCTGATCCCTGGGTTATTCGGGTGTGGATTAACCAATCACAGCATGCCTGTTGGTAATAAAATTACATATTACGCTGGCGATCGATAATACCCAAAGTAGGTGCACCTTTAGGCCATACAGAGATACACCCCGAGAAGACATATTGGATATAGTTTGTGTATTAGTGGTGTTTATACCGACTGGTCAATTATTCGTGTCTGACCATTAGGAAATGTACATTATAACCATTACGTATCATTGTGGTCATGTCAGTATTATCACGTGTTTAGAAATTAGTGTTATAGATTTAACGACTGATTTGAGCTTTTAAATAATACACAATTTACGTGTTATAAATTCACTACGAGGGCTATATAGTGCCAGGAAAGTTTCTCATTTCGTTTTTACACCGAAATCTTACCAGAAGATCTCATACACATTCGAAGTTTAATGTTTCGTTATAGTGATAAAGTTTCAGTTACCTTCTAGAGTGGTGACATAGTTTTACCTTCTAGAGTAGTGACATAGTTTTACACTACTGTAAATCATATCTTGAAGAGCTGGAAACTGTTCCGCGTGAAAAGTTGAAAAGTGGTGTCCTTTTTAAACATTAGGTATATTTCACTGCCCAAACCCGCCTTCTAAATGTACAAAGAAAACATTTGTATTGTGGTGAAATATTTAAATGCAGATATAATCGAAATATACGACATCTTTCCTTACTATGTACGAACTGTGCATACACTCCTTGTCTGTGTATATTGGTTTTGATGTACAGTGGTGAGACTGAAATAAAATTTATGTCTGTGTTTATCTGGCTGTCCCTCATTACGGCATGACTATTTGTTGTCGAAGCATGACGCCATCGTAACGCTAGGCAAATAAATGATAGTTTTCATCGTCATGGTAAGAGTTCCTCCCGTTACCATCCCAAATAATATTTATAAATTAATATATACTAAAATTATTAACAAAACTTAATACAACAATTACTAGAGAACTCACAAAAATAACTAAAAGCCCCAAAATTAATTACAATATATACGGTCGAACCATTACAATGATAAAGGCCCCAGCCACGGTAATGTTACAAAAATATATGGGAGAACGGAAGGAACTCTTTCCGAAAATGATATGTGTGTATATCTGTTCGGGTAATATGATTTGACTAGTAGGGAAATATCTTTCCCACGGAAGTCACCTTTTCGATACATTTGATCGTAAATCAATATAAAAATCCTGTAATGTGTATCAAGGAATCACAGATAGCAGTGTAAACATAATGTAAACAAAACAACGCTCCTATAGATCCACACGCATTCCTTAGTTCGTTATCAGTGTACACAGTACCCGCGCCGCCATCATGGGCTCTAAACGATGCTTCACTTACTATGTTATACAAACACAAAACATATACGTACCTTGATCCTTTCATTATAACACTCCAAAACCTCACAAAATATTGCAATATGTGTACTATTAGTATTCCCCTGTCTAGCCTGGGTGTTGCTGATCGCTGTGACCTCGTCGTTTAACAAAGATGTCCGTCACAACCTGGTTTGGTCGGGTGGGCTGCTTATCAGGTTGAAAGCTTGAAGATCGCTCAACCCACCCACAACCGTTCAGTCGGCTGGAGCTATGCGCTCAAACGGTGGCTTGGCAATCAGCACAGTCTTGACGCCATGGCGCTGGTGATGTAATGTCATTGAGGGGTTCCAATTGTTGAATTGTTTGTTGTGCGTTTGTAACATTAAGGAGACTGTTGCACAACAAATCACGTGACTGATAAACTCCGGGTAGAGTATTTGGGCATCATTTTTTTGGTCGGGGTAAAAAAACTAAAAAAAACCCTTAATAAAGACAAAATTATCCGAATAATGTTCTTGATTCATATTTATTGTAATTCTTATTACAATTTCTCGCGTTCTTTGGACTTGTGGCAGCGACTGATTAAAACATTTTATATGACGAGTCGGTACGTTTAGGTTCGAATCGGCGGTGTTGGAAGGATTAAAAAAGTTTTGTTGTTGTTGTTGTTGTTTTTTGTTGTTTTTTGTTTTTGGGGGGGTCGGCAATATAATTAGAAGGGTCGGACGGGCGATGAGAAACACAAATAATTAAAATGCTGCCTTTACTACTGAACAAACACTTGGGACTAAACTGCCACTAATTAAAGTACTGTCGGAAATAGAATAAATACTGTTTTCAGGCTGTTACTCTGTATCCCTAAAATTTACACAATTGCAAGTAGCATATGTTGAAATAACCCACATCGGCCTAACTCGGTGTTCAGTGGGATGTGTAATAGGATATCCAGAAAAGCATGTTTACTCGTAAAATCTGGCAAACTCAGAAAAAAATACGAATAGCTGCGAACAATAGATCAGACTATAGATGGCAATTAGGTCGTTCAGCCAGGCATGACAATAGACCGTCGACTCACCTGGCATGAAATGCATGTGCTGCATACAAGCACAAGGGGTCATCTCAAAGATATTTTATGCTTTTTCATGTGCGTTGTATATGTCTCATATATTGATTAACATCTTACGTGTCTTTCTTACAGAAAGTTTATGTTGAGATATGTAAAAGAGCATGATACCCATAGAAAAGCTTAAATTAGCCATCGTATTAAATGTCTAAAAATATATAGGTGACATGACCACCCGAAGATCGACAGGACTGGATATTTTTTGTAAATTGTTATGACTTGCCGTTTACTTCCCCAGTTTAATTCCCGTAAAGGATTATCTCACCTTAGCGGATATCTCTACCCCCTAGCCCGATCCCCACCACAGTCTGCGACACCCGTCCTGGGTTTGCTTTTGAGACGACCCTTCCTACCTGTTTCTTTTTATAGTGATAGTGAGACTCCAGGGTAGCTACATCCTTCACAGTTTCAGTCTTAAAGTTATTATTTTTTACGTCAGCTATCGTTTATAATGAAGCTAATTTAATTTCAAAATGGGCATTTAAAAAGTTCCCTTTGTAATACAAATACCGTCGCACACTAATTTGCATAAAGCCATTGTCTGTTCCAAATAAGTCGCAAAGAACTGCATTGCTCATTTCTGCACTAAACTCTCCTCAGTAAAGGCCTTTTTTTCTACGTTTCCTATCTCCGTACCACTGCGACTGCAGTTAGGCCCAACTTAGCTATAGTTTAACAGATATTTCACATTTTCACATATTAACTACATGAATTGTAGATATAAATGCGAACAAACAGTTCTTTTTAATTTACGACAGTACTTGAGTCGTTGGATAATTCCCGAGTCTTAATCTTACCAACACTCCTTTAATCTATCTTACATACGTATTTTATTAACGAATCCAATAATGAATTTGAAAAATTGGTTTAGTCAAAACCTTGTAACTGAGATTAGTTAAACGACTTTGTAATTTGGACTACGTTCCACAATCTGGTATTAAATCTTATATATTGAGAACAGTTTCCATAATGTGTGGCAGGCTGAGGCATTATCCCTGCGTAATTTTGGTAAAAACTTCTAAATTGATGCATAGTTTACGCAAAAATTAAAAGTTGAAAAAAACCCCGAAATACACAGAAGAATGTGAATGAAGTAAAGGGAGATAATTCATGGATGTCAAGGAATGACAAGGAATGTAACGTGTTCATTCATCAGACTGACTGACTGAGTTTGGTTTTACGCCGCTTTTAGCAATATTCCAGCAACATCACGGCGGTGGACACCAGAACTGGGCTTCACACATTGTACCCATCTGGGGAGTCGAACCCGGGTCTTCGGCGTGACGAGCCAACGCTTTAACCATCCTACCGCCCCTTTTTCATCAGAGGAAGTACGAGGAAAATACGTTTATCTCACCTCGTATGTACATATGATAATAGTGTCGTGCGACATTAGATAAACACATATCACAACTTCCCAAATGCATAATTGTTTTGAAGTTGATATCTTTTAAAAGTAAATATAAAGTAATATATTTAAACCAGCGAAAAATCAAGAATATTTACAAATCGTAATGCAATACATAAAATTAAGCATATTTTTATTAATGAAGCTCAGGCATGCATCACATAGTTTCTCAGATATCATTGCAGGCTTTGGCACTAAAACACAATGGGCTAGTTAAGATCAGATATAGTCTATCTTCGCTGGGGAGTGTTTGCTTAAAGGTTCAATTAAAAGATCTAGCTATATTGCCCAATAACTGCTTGTGACATTTCTATATCAACATCAGTGGTCTTTCTGTTAATGTATGTTACACACTGTTAGGGTACTTCGTTTTCCTGTGACCATCACACAGCCCTCAGTGCAACACAACTCTATGTCAGTGTAACAAAGCTCTCTGTCGGCGTGGGGCGGTGGGGTAGCCTAATGGTTAAAGCGTTCGCTCGTCACGCCGAAGGACCGGGTTCGATTCCCCACATGGGTAGAATGTGTGAAGCCCATTTCTGGTGTCCCCCGCCGTGATATTGCTGGAAATACTGCTAAAAGCGGCGTTAAACCCAACTCACTCACTCACTCACTCTGTCGGCGTAACACAGCTCTGTCAGTGTAACACAACTCTATGTCAGTGTAAAACAGCTCTCGGTCAGTGTAACACAGCTCTCAGTGTAACACAGCCCTCTGTCAGTGTAACACAGCTCTCAATGTAGCACAACTCTCTGTTAGTGTAACACAGCTCTCTGTCAGTGTAAAACAGCTCTCGGTCAGTGTAACACAGCTATCTGTCAGTGTGACACAGCTCTCTGTCAGTTTAACACAGTTCTCTGCCAGTGTAACAAAGCTCTGTCAGTGTAACACAGCTCTCTGTCAGTGTAACACAGCTCTCTGGCAGTGCAACAAACCTCTGTCAGTGTAACACAGCTCTCTGTCAGTGTAACACAGCTCTCTGCCAGTGTAACAGAGCTCTCAGTCAGTGTAACACAGCCCCTGTCAGTTTAACACAGCCCTCTGTGAGTGTGACACAGCTCTCTATCAGTGTGACAAAGCTCTCTGTCAATGTAACATAGCCCTCTGTCAGTGAAACATAGCCCTCTGTCAGTGAAAAACAGCCCTCTGTCAGTTTAACACAGCCCTCTGTCAGTGTGACACAGCTCTCTGTCAGTGTAACACAGCTCTCTGTCTGTGTAACACAGCTCTCAGTGTGACACAGCTCTCGGTCAGTGTAACACAGCTCTCAGTGTGACACAGCTCTCTGTCAGTGTAACGAAGCTTTCTGTGAGTGTAACACAGCTCTCAGTGTAATACAGCTCTCTGTCAGTGTAACACAGCTCTCTGTCAGTGTAACACAGCTCTCAGTGTGACACAGCTCCCTGTCAGTGTAACACAGCCTTCTGTCAGTGTAACACAGCTCTCTGTCATGTGTAACACAGCTCTCAGTGTGACACAGCTCTCTGTCAATGTAACACAACTTTCTGTCAGTGTAACACAGCTCTCAGTGTAACACAGCTTTCTGTCAGTGTAGCACAGATCTCAGTGTAACACAGCTCTCTGTCAGTGTAACACAGCTCTCTGTCAGTGTAACACAGCTCTCAGTGTGACACATCTCTCTGTCAGTGTAACACAGCTCTCTGTCCAGTGTAACACAGCTCTCTGTCAGTGTAACACAGCTCTCTGTCAGTGTAACACAGCTCTCTGTCAGTGTAACACAGCTATCTGTTAGTGTAACACAGCTCTCTGTCAGTGTAACACAGCTCTCTGTCAGTGTAACACAGCTCTCAGTGTAACACAGCTCTGTCAGTGTAACACAGCTCTCTGTCAGTGTAACACAGCTCTCTGTCAGTGTAACACAGCTCTCAATGTAGCACAGCTCTCTCTTAGTTACTCCTAGGCCAAATGTAGAGATAACATCATTATAAGGTAATACGATACACCAGGCCTTATCACCCATACTGCATATCCTGATCATGTTGAACATCAGTGCGTGTCACCGTCCATTAAACAATGCGGTTAATACTCATGAAGTTGGTCTATGAACATGTGGACACTGTTTCAACAGCGGGGTAAACCTTGTTTGTTTTTAGCAACCTGATACATTCTGTGTCTAGTTCCACATTGAGAAGAATGGAGGGTGGGAGTTGTCATACCAATTACTGGATAACGCTTTTACTGCTGCTGAGAGATCCTAAAAGATAGGGACTTTTCTAACATTTGGCCTAGGGCTATAGTGTAACACAGCTCTCAGTCAGTGTAACACAGCTATCTGTCAGTGTAACAGAGCTCTGTGTCAGTTGAACACTTCGCTGCCAGTATAACAAAGCTCTGTCAGTGTAACACAGCTCTCTGTCAGTTTAACACAGCTCTCTGTCAGTGTAACAAACCTCTGTCAGTGTAACACAGCTCTCTGTCAGTGTAACACAGCTCTCTGTCCAGTGTAACAGAGCTCTCTGTCAGTGTAACACAGCTCTCTGTCAGTGTGACACAGCTCTCTGTCTGTGTAACACAGCTCTCTGCCAGTGTAACAGAGCTCTCTGTCAGTGTAACACAGCTCTCAGTGTAACACAGTTCTCAGTGTAACACAGCCCTCTGTCAGTGTAAGAGTGTAACACAGCTCTCCGTCTGTGTAACACATCTCTCTGTCTGTGTAACACAGCTCTCTGCCAGTGTAACAGAGCTCTCTGTCAGTGTAACACAGCCCTCAGTCAGTTTAACACAGCTCTCTGTCAGTATAACACAGCTCTCAGTCAGTGTAACACAGCTCTATGTCAGTGTAACACAGCCCTCTGTCAGTGTAACACAGCTCTCAGTGTAACACATTTCTCAGTG